CCATATGCTCATAGCCATGAGAAATAGCTCTATATCTCAGACGGGCTGCAGCGTTGATTTAGCGTGAAACAATTGTATTTTTTCAACAACAACAAAAAAAATAATCACAATATTTTGAATTAGGGATGGACCGATACCACTTTTTGCAGAACTAGATACCGATACTGTAACCGATCCCTGAATTTTCACTGCATTTGTAATTTTTAAATGTATTAGTAATCATATTAGTTGGCTTAATTTGTTCATCAAATATATATTTCTTTCAATTATTTGCATGCTTAAATAAGCCTGCTAAAATGCATTGTATGAGCTTTTGTTACTGTACATTCTACTGCTCTATCATATTTTATATTTCATTGAATAGCACAGCACATATTTAGACTAGAGCAGCTCCAGAAATGTCAGTGCTGAGAATTGGGTCAGTGGTACAAATGTTTAGACTAGGGATGGCCCGATACCGATACTGGCATCGGGGATCGGGCCGATACTGTCCTAATATACTCGTACTCGTACTCATAAAAATTCGCCGATACCACGTACATTTTGCAAAACGAAACTGGCCGCCGCGAGTGCTTTGTCGAGGTGAACTGAGGCATAGGAAAGTATAATGTCGGCGGTTTGGGCTCATTTCAAGATAAGGGATGATGACAACAGCAAGGCAGACTGTGAGTTATGTTCAGCTAAGGTGTCGAGAGGAGGGAAAGAAAGTACATCGTTTAACACCAGCAATCTAATTAAACATCTGAAGACGCATCATAGATCTGATGGCCGAGCGCGCGCGCGGGCGGTAATGCACTCACTCTGTGTGTGCGGGTTACGGGAGAATAAAACGATTCGCGGGACTCCCGCAAACTAGAAATATCTATGAATAAAACATAAAAACTAAAAGATTTTTATTCATCTCTTGCAGAAAAGCAACAAGAACAACTACAACAAAAACGATTTACAGGACAGAGTTTCTATTCATAACATGGTTACAGCGTTGAGCGATGTAGCCAATCACAGACATATGTGTTGATTTCTGGAACGAAATGGCCAATCAGAAGCATTTAAGATAGACTCCCCTCACCGCTCAAAACGGACTTTTTTGTTCAGTGCTGAATTCTGTATGCTGGCAAATCCTCTAATTATAACAAACAAAGTGTGGATATTATGAAAGATTGATTGTGCAGTCAGCTTCATTGATAATAACAGAGATGTGTGAGATCGCGATGAACTGTCAGCTTTTAGGATTTATTAAGGGAGCGCACTTTGCGCGCATTCAGTCATGCCAGACCATACACGCAGTAGCCTGCTTGCTTTTATGTTAAATTAACAGTGGTTTGTGTGTAAATACATTTATTATTTTACTAATTTTTATTTATTTTTAGACTTGTTAAAACAAGCAGAGAAGAAAATAAAAACAGTCTTCTAACCTGTGTTCTAAAATAGTCGTCTTCTTTTCTGGGAGCCTATTACTTTTGCGGTAGAAATATCGGTATCGGTACTCGGTATCGGCAAGTACACAAATGTAAATACTCGTACTCGTATCGGTTTGAAAAAAAATGGTATCGGGCCATCCCTAGTTTAGACACCAGTGAAATATAAATTATTGAATCCAATTTTGATACAATAAAAACTGCCAGCCTAATTAATGTGAATTTAAAACATTATTAAAAGCTAAGCAGTCAGCAACAAAATAAGAATGAATAATCAACTTACAAATAAATACAACAGAACAAAGAAAGGCTACAAATTACTGTATAAATTAAATATAGATGGATCTTTTGAAAGTTGAAAAGGGTAGACTATTTAGTCAAGAGCAGTGAGTAATTTGTCCATTCATTGTTTGATTAACATTAAAACAGCAGTGGGTTTATTGAAGTGCTGCCCCTTTAAGACCGAACGCACGGACCGCATGGCTACGTTCACTTGATATACCTGACTTTGTTTACTAGGATACTCGCAAATATGGGCATTTTTACATCATTTTGTGTGAATTCCTCAGCACAAGCACAAGATGTGAAAGACAATTCAATTCAGGATCCGCGCGCTGAGACGCTGGTTTCCGGGTGCGCGCTTTGGATGTTTGCGTTCATGAAACTTATTGACTGCAAACTTCCAGTAATAATGTAGGGAATCACTCGTTATACATAAATCAGGTAACAGGTCATGTTTTACTTTACTTGATTTAGTTGTCATCCAAATAACACGTGCTGAGTGAACAATTTAGCAATCAAGAGCATTCAACAGAACTGCGCTGTCTCTCGTCAGTTAATGTTAATAATAAGCTAGTACATGCTTGTTTTATTTTACATTGACATCCGACTAAACTACAAACCTTCCACTGATGTCTGTTTAAAGAGATGTGCTCGACCAGCTCGCGTGTCTGCTGCTGCGCGCTCAATCCACTGCGCGCGCGGTTTTCTCTGATGATCAGCTCGCGCACCACAGCTATGCGTTACTATACACACGCTGCCTGGTAGGCCTATCGGTAATTGGTATCGGAGCATTTTTTCCGAACTACATAAGCTCGGTATAATTCAAGCACTTTAAGTACCTCTTCAAAAATATGGCTGTTTTCAAGGGTTTTCCAGGACTTAAATTTCAAAAAGTCAAATTCAAGTACTTCAAGCACTTTAAGCACCTTGTACGAACCCTGCTTTGAGGTCAAAATGTGTGCCCGCTACGCAAAATGCGTACATGTTGGCAGGTATGGAAGTGTGATGGGCGACCCTCTCATTCATTACCATGGGCAGCGACAAAATATGCGCTGTTCACGCTCCACTGACACTTGCGATGTGAAACAGGTAGGGCTCGACTGATATGTGATTTTCAGGGCCGATACCGATTATTACAGATCAAATAGACAGATAACCGATATTTTGAACCGATATATGTCTGGTGTAAAAATGTAAATTAATGTCAAAATTAAGAACAAAGGATTTTGACAAATACTTTAAATGATTTTAAACATATCTTTGAATCTGAGAACTGTTATTAATAGTAATAATAATAATTATAATAACTTAAAAAGTGCAGGGAGCACCCAGCAGCATTCTGTAAACATTTTGTAAAACTTAAAGACTATTTTAATGTTTAAATTAAATTTTAGTAATCAAAAAGCATTTCTAATTAATTGAAATCAAACTTATTCAATTTATTTACAGTTTAACAAAAATTAAATTTTTAGGGCCCTATGAAAAACCGAACTTTTATTTTAACAGGTTGCCGTGGAGATCTTTGAGTTTCTGTGTGTTCATGATATGACGATAACTTTTCTCAGTTGAAGCATTAAAAAGCTCATGAAGTGACTAAGCGGCTCTGGAGATTATGTTTATGCAATCATGTCCTCATATAATGATGCGGCTGAGGCTGAAGACAGCGCAAGCGTCACGCGTGCTCCAGTGTGTGTGTGTGGTAAATGAAATCGCGCGTCTGCGCCATTGATTTAGAGACACGCAGGATTCATATTTAAATAGTCTTTTTGCGGTTTGAAATTCGATTTTATTTGTACTGACCTGCTTTTTATTAATTCATCAAAGTTGACAAATTCCGTGATATTCCGCTTTATACAGTAAAATCCGTTTTTATGACTGGATTTTCTGCATCGCGGAAATCACAGGGCTCTATTATATTGAGGTATTTTGCAACTTCAGTGTAGTAATTTATTGCTTGTTCAGCAAAGTCTGCTGCTGCCTTAACTTTGAGAGACAACTGATGATCAGTGAAGCAGCTCCAGTCTGCAAGTGCAAAACTTTCAGTGCCTTCAACTTTCCGCGTTGATTGGCCGGACTCGTGACTCCCAACAAATCAGATGGGCGGGGACATTAGTCTAGTCTACAGAGTGGTGAGTTCCGACAGATATGGCTGCGTTAGAGCCAAATATAGTGCATTTCAAAATAAAATTATTTTATCGGCAAATCGGTTTTGAAAATGTCCGATAACCATAAAAATGCTTAATATCGGCGCCGATAATCGGTCGACCCTAGAAACAGGCATAACAGAGATAGCGGAATCACTGTCATTTCGGAATAAGACAGCGTAGCAAGGGTGTTTGAATCGAGATTGCAATCTTTTAATGTTTAATCGTGCAGCTCTAATATCTATATGATAGGGGTGTAATGGTACATGTATTCGTATTGAACCGTTTTGGTACAAGGCTTCCTGTTCGGTACGCATTCAAACCGAACGATTCCTTGGACCATTTTTCCTGCCGACAAAATCCACTCTGGCTCGACCATAGGGCACGACCACCACAACGTTGCGCAACATCAAATGGCAGTAATGAAAGCGGAATGAAACTGCGCTGCTCATTATATTGTGCTTCACGGACCGTTTATCACTTCTGACCAGCAAAATCTGTGCAGCCGATCTTGATCAAGCGACACTGTTACTACACACGTACACAGCGCTAAGAGATCCAGTGAAGAAAACATTTGAATTCGCCACTGAAGTAATAACATCTCTGCGAGATCTAGTGAGAAGCATTCAAAGTTCTCCGTTATTAACCGTAGATCTCTATTAGATCAAACAGCGCTGACGTGGAAACCAGGAACATTGTGCCGTGAATGATCTAGTTATAGGCTTTACGTCCACAGATCAGCAACATTCACCATGGATTTAATATAGTAACACTAACTGTATCCATGGAAGTTTGGTTGGAATAGTGAAATGCTTTCAAGTACTTCACACATCTTTTTCCAGCACTTCAAAACTCAAATATTATCTAAATATTATATATATATATATAGGCCTATATTTAAATGTTATTTTTAATGTGATGACCAAAACATTATTTGTTCATCCTTCAAAGATTACCCCCATTTATAAACCTGAAAGTTTCAAGATATAGGAAAACTCAAACTTATTTAAAAATATTTTTTCTTTTAATAGGAAATTTCTCTGGCATTTCTTTCTTTTTGCTGTAATGGAAAATGTACCGAACCGTGACACCACTATCGTATCGAACCGAACCGAACCGTGAATTTTGTGAACCGTTACACCCCTACTATATGAGTGTAATATTTAGCTATGTTTTTTAATATATCGTAACTTATAGATATTTTGAAAAATGTCCCACAGAAGAAAGTCATACAGGTTTTGAACTACACTAGAGTGAGTAAATAATTTTCAATTTAGGGTGACCTATCCCTTTAAGTTAATGTGCACTTAACTGCCTGAGAAAATAAGCTTTGATTTGAAAGTGTAATTGCTAACCTCACAAGGAGTTTCAAATCATGTACATATACAACCCCAAACAAAAAACAGACCTTTGACGTATACTGAAATGTTTCCAGCGCAGCACTCTCAACTGTGGTCTGCTTCTAAAAATCAATGTGCTTTTGCCTCAGGCAAATAGAGCACAAAATCAAACAGAATAATATAGACGGAGTAAAATCTAAATAGTCATTTTAACACTACAGCTGCAACAAATATAAATCGATCATGCTTGGAAAATATATAATAGTTTCCTTGTTTAAAAAAACAAAAAAAAACACGACTACTAATAAGATTCAAAAGCAGTCATAACCCATTTAGGTCAATGCTTGTGTCACTTATAACTAATCCACAATGGAAAAATTATCCAAACCAGTTGCCAAGTAACCTGACTGTTAGGTTTGAGCTGCTACTACTTCCCGAGTATGGTTACATTTAGCTACCACAGCCTTGACATTTCTATGGACACTAATGGAACATTTGAGGAGTGAAAAAAAGGCAAGGGGAAGACAGAAAAGAAAATTAAATGCTTGACAAGTTTGCATTCATCAACAGCGAGGAATTACGCTGACAGAGCACTCTCAGGACAAATGGCACAATAACACAGCAGCGCAAGGTCCGAGTCTCCATTGTAGCAGAACTAACTAAGTTGCGGCGGTAACCAAGAAACCAGCAATCCCCTGCAAATAAAGTTCTTTCAAGGACAAACACTCGGAGCACCACCACTTAAATTCTTGGCTGTGGCTATTCAGTGAATGGATCTAAAGGGACAGTATACTCTAAGCATTCTATATACAACTATACACAAGGCTAGTTCAAATTCGCCAAATGAACGTCCTCGTCGTGCCAACATTTTATCGTCGCCGGCAGGAAAGGAGGAGAAGACTGCAAGTTGACTTATGTCATCAGACCATACTTCAATTAAAAACCTCGTCTCCTCTCCCCATGTGCTACCACTGCTCATTTTTCCTGCCACCTTCTATTTTTTCGGCTATGCGGGAACCACCGGAACTTCCTGTAAAAGGTCTGAAAGTCCAAACCATACAGAAATGCTTTCACACTAGAAACGAACCAAACCTTTGTTCAGTTTGATCCGGACCGTGGTAGGTTTCACACTTGTAATTTTGATTTGGACCAAACAAGGTAGGTGTGAAAGGGCCCTAAGAAGTGTAAATCTTTGAATGGATGAGTTATCGCAATCCAAATGTCAATCATATTTCTAAGCAGTGTACATTGTGCATCCTGGCTTTTGAAGGGAGGGTCCAATCAAACTAAAACATGCACAAAGGATTAGGCCAATGCCACCTCATCAGCAAATGCTATTCTTAGACCAGCCATTTTTAACAGCAGTTGTTCTGTCTTAATTCAGGATGAACCTTGAGTGTAAAACAGTCTTCCTGCTTTTCACTGTGCATTTATGAACAAAGAACATGACGTGAACCGTTGGATTGAAAAGAAAAACTCTAAAAGCCATGTATAACGTCAGAGGAAACAGATCACAAAGCTCAACTGGGAAAAGCTGCCTGCATGGGTTGACTGCACACGGTTGCTATATTAAACCCACCGGCCGCGATAATTTCCATTTGCATGCTTGTTTGTTTTCCTCGTCTCTCTCTCTCTACCAAAGAGACTGGATGACAACTCTCGGTTCCTTAGTGTAGGAGGAGTGAACTAGAGCTTATTCTGCCCGAGCCCGAACTTGGGGTCGGTCCGATATTTCCCGACACTATTCTCGGGCCGGGCCGGGCCCTTGATCTAGAGACGTGCACTCCCAACGCAATAGAGTGCGGCGCGGCACTATATTTGATGGCCGAGTGCGAACACGGGCGGTAATGCACTGTGTGTGTGCAGGAGAATAAAACGATTCACGGGACTCTCGCAAACTAGAAATATCTATGAATAAAACAAAAACTAATAGATTTTTATTCATCTGTTGCAGAAAAGCAACAAAAACAACTAAAACAAAAAAGAAACGATTTACAGGCCAGAGTTTCTATTCATAGAAACAACTACAAGTACAACTACAAATATGTTTTATGTTGTTGCTACGATTGCCTGCTAGTCAACATTATCGTTTACTTTAGCGTTTGTAAGCTCTCGCTTTTGTATGCGCCTGCTTTAAAACGTTACGGGAAACGCACATCAACAACGCCATCATGACTAGCACACACATATACATTAGGGGTGGGAATCTCTAGGCACCTCACGATTCGATTCGATTACGATTCAGAGGGCTGCGATTCGATGCTAAATCGATTATCAGAATCTTTTTTGTGTGTGTGTGACTATAAATACTTTGCTTTAAAAGTACAAAGTAATGACCCATAAAGAATTAACGTACAATATATTTTATTAACATTGCAAAGAACCAACAGGAAAATACATGTGTGTCTGAACTAGCAGCAGCATATTTGTAGTAAATTAATAATATAACAACGACCGGTAACGTTACAGCCGAGTGTTTTTCCTCCTCTGGCTGGAAACGTGTCATTTGGCTTCATGTGTCTTGTTTCCGAAATATTTTAGTTTTACTCTACAAAGCTTACAACTAGTGTGGCTCTTGTCCAGCTCCTTTCCCCCTTCAACTTCAGAAGCCAAAATATTTCCACACGTCAGCTTTTAACGAGGAGGGTGTTTGGATTTGGCGCTCAGCCATCGCGTCCGCGTCTGTTATGTGCACGCCACAGACGGACCGGCCACTGCACTTCCGCGCTTCAGAGTTCCGTCTTTCGCGTTCCGTCAATATTACGTTATTATAAATATATATCTAAAAAAATTTTTTTTTTTTTTTGAAAATCGATTTGACAATTGTGAATCGATTCAGAATCGTCCACGTCCGCATCGCGATGCATCTAAGAATCGATTTTTTCCCCCACCCCTAATATACATACATATATATATATATATATATGATGAGTTTGGTTAAGTTAATTAACACGGGAGTAGAGTGCTTCAGTTTACTATGATCATCTATCACTACTTAAGCACATGCAGCTCAAACAGCAATGCACAACATTAATAACTATGATTGGGACTGTCATATAACAATGAGAACACTATTGTAATAAAACATTGTGAATTCTTTGGGTTTGGTTGCAGTGTTTCAGCACATTGTTAGAGCACATCCAGAACAGGAGTTACACATTCTGGCTTGCACGTAATTTAGCCTAAGTTCACTTGTGCATTTGCAGTTTTTTGCGCAGATAAAAGTTATGTAAATAATATATTTAATAAACATAAATAATATTATGTTTATGTTGTATAAATATCTGATTTCTCTCATTTAGGATGCATTCAATTTAGTTAATTAACCCGCTAACAAAGCTTAAGTTTACTACTGGTTTAGCTCTTCAGCTACAGCACACGCAGCTCAAACAGCAATGCTGTTATTTGAAACAGTAATATTAATTTGAGGGGTTTCTTTGTCAAAAAACATGAATGCATTATTAATAGTAACTAGTTTTATTTCTCATATTTTCATCAACAATATGGTTAAATTAACATTTCATTGTCTGTGCAGAGGCTATTCCAATTTATTTATCCATTGCACATGCATTTATTCTGTATAGGCAAGTAACGTTGTCCAATGACTTGTTTGCATAATTAGCCATTATTTAATTTTCTGTAAGGCAATAGATTGTTTTATAAAGAAATTGGGCCATATGAGTAACATTTATTTAAAAGTGCCCACTGGTTATTAAACTAGGCTACTGTACTGTATTCCATTGAATTATGTTGAAGTGCTTGCGACACAGCTTTTAAGGTTTTTGTAATTAGGCTTTCCAAAAATTAAATAAAAGACTGATTCATCGGCCGATATATATTAGCTATATAAATATAAAGAATATCGGCTTTCAGATATAAAGAATCATATCAGCCAAAATGTTCATATCAGCACATCCCTAAAATGTAGGACTATTTGCTATTTTAAGCACCCAAGGAAACTCCTAGGTAGAATTATGTAGATGTTTAAAACCACTGAGATGTACCATTAAGAAACACCCTAACACTATGCAGCCCAGACCGAATACCGCTGTAGTCAGGCTTTAACAGGGCACTAAAGGACACCGCAGTGGAAGAGGAGTGAGAGCAGGTTTTCCACTTAACTGTGGCCTTCTAAGTGTCAAGCCTACTCTGCATTAGATGCACAGCAGATTTAGACTACATTAAAGCCTACACCATCTGACCAGGACTACTTATTAATGTAGTGCAAAACATACTCTATATGCTCATTAACATCCCTCATCGACAGTTCTGCCTTAGGAATCAAAGTGATGGATGGCCTCCTGGTCCATATGCCTAGAAAAGGCTATGTATTTTGCTGGAAAGTAGATCCACAACTAGAACCACAAAAACACAACTGTCGATTCATCACAAGAACTTTTAACAGCACACCATTACAGTTCCCTTAACACCAAATATATAGAATAGTACAGTAAGAGTCGATGAAGAAACGCGGAAATGACATGGTCTTGGTTAGTCTGTGGTTAGAAATCACTCCCACATATATATGTTTGTACAGAAGAGACCATTATAAATCAAGACTAACAAGTGTTAGATCCAGGAACAATGATTGGGAGAAATGTGTCAAATAGAGCATCCCATTTGGAAAGGGGTTAATTCAAGGGATGGTTATCTGACATTCACAGAAAAGATTATGAAGCCAACCCTTCGTCCCAGAGAAGAATAGACATTTTTTGGTACAAAGTTAGTAGTCAAATTTCCCAAGGACGTCTTTACTTTTGCAAAACATACCAATTGAATTTTTTTTCCTCTCGAGTGGGGTGCATCCTTGAACTAACACCGTTTCTTGGCATTTCGTGTTTCATGAATCTTTTGGGGAGCGAATGTTCCAAATCCAATTCTTTTTTTTTTTTTACACAAATGTAAGCAATTGGTGTCTCTGTTTTTGCACTGAAAACGTCGCTTGGCTGTTTGCTACTAACCTTTCATGTTACTCTTGGGTTTGTCAGTTTGCTTGCCTGTGGGGGTTTGTGCCTGTTGCCCCTGTCCCCCTGAGGACGCCGCTTGCTGT